GTATGTAGCACAGAGACTGTGAACACTACAATACGTTTAATTTATCAAGAGGATTAAAACCTCTGGCCTGGAAGGCAAAGTAGCAACTGCGTAACTTCTAAGGTAAGCGGCCTGCTTCGAACTCACGGCTTCCTCTCTTCTGCTTGGCAAAAAGGCCACACTTAAATACTTGGCGTTCGCCAGACAACTTTGCATAAACTCCTTCACGCTTATAATTCTGGCCGGAAGTAGAAAATAAGAAGTGATAGTAAAGATTTAAAATAAAATAAACGTTAGTAAAACTTAAGATCCTTACAAGCTAATACTGAAAAATAAATTTAAAATTACTGAATTTTAATTATTAAAATTTAAAAATTAAATTTTAAAGTTACTGAAAAAAAAATTTGAAATATAAATAATTCAGTACAAGTGAGTTTGCAGCTTTCAAATTGCTTAAATTTTGAAAAAGTTATAATTTAAATTATAATTTATAATTATAATTTATAATTTAAAGTTATAATAAATTAATGATCTTAATGGCCTATAGAATGACAAATATCCTGCAAAATCGCTCTTTAAAATGCATGAAAATTAAATAGTGTTACGGTTTTTGTACTGAATTAGCTAATGTTATTAGAATTATAAATTAAATTGTTTTATTCCCCGTGCAATGCAGTGACGAATATTAAGAGAAAGCTAAGCCGCAAAATTAAGAATACAAGAGCACGTGCATTTAATATTTAATAAATAAATAACTCTTTTTGATTTCGAGAAATTGCTGGAACAATCTCGCGCGGCAGATTTATAAAGAGATAAAAGCACCTCAGCTCAGTTTTTATAAGGTTTGTTTAGAAGACTGCTGTTGTTTACTGTAGCGAATTCGCGGTGAAATCGGATTAGCTTTCTCTACGTTCCTCTATTTTGAATTAGTTCTGTTGAATGTTTTTAGTAGTTCAAAAGATAACTACTGTGACAAATAAAACAAAAATGCCCGTCGCTGGCATTTTTGTTTTATTTGTTGTGATAATAATAAATTTTATTCACTTTTCATCGGACTTGTGCATTTAATTCATAACGAACCCGTACGCACGCAACAATAGTATATTGTTTATATGCAGAAGCAACATTTATTAGATCACATGCATGGCAAATGGCATAAGACATGTATGCCAGCGACGGGCAATGGTCAGCTTCCTTCTAATTTTCTTCCTAATTTTATATAAAACGAGATTACAAGCAAATTTGTTAACCAAGTCATTTTTATACGCAGAAGTCCTCAATTTAGAGTAAAGATGCTTAATGTTTAAACTAGCTATTCTTGTGGTGTACTGTTCAGAATGGTGCCTAACGATAGCCGCTGCCAAATTGGTGCTACTTTGGTACATGGTTGCACGGATGTTTGGCGATTTACATTGGCGCAATTGTTGGCGGGGTTTTTACAGTCGGCAGCCATCTTGAAAAATGCTGTTTTTACGTATTTTACGCATATAGTAAAGTATTCGAAACTTTAAAAAAATAAATACCGTTAAAAATAATGGATTAATTTTTTGTTGAAAACGTTGTTTATTAAGATGGCTGGCAAATGTAAATAAATACATTTACTAAGAGGATAAAATGCTAAAGTAAGGTTAAATTATTACTTTCATATAATAGAATAAAAACACTTCTATAAAAACATTGCGCCAACATTTAATTGGATTAAAATATTACTTAAATTGAATATTCGAATTAAAAAACATCATACCAACGTTTAAAAAGAATTAAAATATTATTTAAATTCAAATACTTTAAAATAAGTTTTATAGGATTTAATTATTTAACATTAAAACATACGTGGCAATAAATATCTCAGGAATTTTTGAAAACATTGTATTAATGTTTTAATAAAAATTTAAGTATCCAATTATAAAGTAAAAGAAAATAATGTACTTACATTTTTTTAAGTATTTTCCTGTCGCATATTTATAAATAACACACACACACACACACAAAAAAAAAAAACAAAAAAAAAAAAAAAAAAAAAAAAAAAACGATCTTCTAACGATCTTTATCTGTGATCCACACCTCTCGCACTTCATTGAAGAAGCAATTAGCGACATTTCCTCCAAAAATTTAAAATAAATTTTTTCTGACGCTGGTAACAATTTATAAATAAATCTTTGATTAGAAAAGCCAGGTTGGCCGAAACAAGGTCTCAAAGTTCAATTTTGTTTTTTTAAAATTTCGATACCAATAATTCTTGGTAATTACCAATAACAACATTCATCTTCGAAACGGACATATCCATTCCATTTGAAATCTGAGGAATTCGAAGAGATGAATAATAAAATTTTAAAATGGCGCGGTAATGCATAAATATTCAGTAACCAATCAGAGAGTTAATGACATCACGCATGGAGTTAAAATTATTTAAATAATCATTCATAATATTAAGTAAGATATCGTCATTGATCACATCATCCACAACATAAATTTATATAAAATATCATAAACAACAAAATTTTTATTTCAAATAAAAATGCAAAATTAAATATATTTTTAATATTTAGAAGACATAAATCATATTTAAAACACTCAATTTATGCAATAAATAAAACGCATTATTTTTTAAATAAAATGACAACAAAGTATCGGTTACCATAAATAACTTGTCAAGCAATGGGTTTACCGTAAGTCGTATCGCTCGCCAAAAAAATCAGCAAAATTCGTGCAACCGTCTACCAAAGTAGCACCGCCAAATTTTTCGGCCCGGATTAGATTCTCGCAGAAGGCATCGATGTTTGCAAGCATATATTAATTTTTGAAGCATAGACTGAACAATGTATTACTAACCAACTGAAAATATATTTGAGAAGTTTTAAGGTAAAGAAACAGATTCTGGTATCAAGTACCCAGCTGAGCAAACTCGTATTGTCGTCTAAAAGGCGACATTTTGGTCACCTTTCTGTCTCGGCCGCGATGCAGTTTTGAAGACCTTATAAGGTTCCAACCTAGAATCTACAGCATTGTGTGTGTAACCTTGAGAACTGTTAGTTTAGAAAATAGAAACGTAAACTCACGAAGGGTTAATTACCCTTTATAGCTCAAAATAAGGTTTTACAGATGGTCCTTCCTCAGGAGGTACAGAAAGCCTCTACTTGGGCTTGAACTCAAGAATACTAAGATATAGAACTTAACTAATGCTTAACTAAAAAGATATAACCGAAGCTATGGAAATTCTACAAGATTTGGCCACTTAAATGCTAACAAAACGGCGAAGCTATCAAGGGCCTAAAATACGTTAAGCATAGTTAAACTGTTATTAGTACTTTTCTGTTAATCGTAATACGGATTTTCTCCTTTTCCAGTATTTTGATTGCTCTCAGATTAACAACAATTTTGCGCTAACCGAGAACGTCGGCCCCAGTAAATTAGAAACGAACTTCAAAATTTATTCAATATTCAAGCATAGAAAGCATTTATTCAATGTATCAAACAAAGCTCGTTAACGTAGTTCGATATTAATGTTTCATACTTATTATTTCTCTTTCAGTGCAAGTATTTTAAATTTTGTGCATACAGTGATTCAATAAATGGGTTTGGTAGTTCTTGCAGTAATTATTAACCCTCTATCTGAAAATATTTAATAATTATAATTTAATAGTTTAAAGGAAGTTTTAAAAATTGTAAACAAGCGAGGATAGTTTCTTGTGAGAAAAGATGGCACTGCGAATTTTAAATGAGAATGATAAAATGATGCGCCTTTGGTAAACGTGTAGCACTCTTAGTTGTCTGCAAATTGCCTTCCCAATTCTCCTAATTCATCACTTGAGTTTATCTCGGCAATATCAGCAGATAACTCTGACCTTTAGGAACTACTTTTTCTTCTACATCAAATGTAAAGCTATATCAGGGAATCAAAAAATTAATTAACACTTTTTAATTCTTCTTTACAATGTAGGATCTAATTCTAAAAACGAATTTAAGGATATCAGATTCGTTCCTTAAAATTGGTTCCAAATCACAGAGTGAGCGTTGAGAGACGCATCAAAGATCACCCATATCTTTGCCATTATGTTTGAAAGTTTTAATAACTACATGAGCAAGGTAATATTTATCATAGTTTCAGTTTTCAGAAATGCATATCGCTGGTTTGTCATTAATTAGAAGTAAATACCCTAAAATTGTTCTTATTCATGACCGGACAGTTTCCGAATTTCTTTTTGTCTATGCAATGTCATCAGGCAATTATTTCAGCTTTAAATCACCCAATTTAAATTTAACATTCACACACATAAAAAATTGACCATGTGTGACGGAAAAATTCTCTGAAAATGGGCTTCGTAAAAGAGTCTTTCATATATTAAATTTTTTTGCGTGTTGACACCTTCGGTTTGCTAAATATGTTTGAGCTCGTTATAGATATTTAGTTCGTAAATATTTACATTTATTACTCAGTAAGCTTTGGCGTAATTACTCAGTGCTTTTCCCTCAGCAGTAAAATTCATAACCAAGAACACTTTGCCACCATTTAAAAATCCAAATCATGCATCTCCCCATTTTCGAAATGCTCTCTTTCGAAACTGCCAATTTAAACATACTATTGAAATGTAAATAGAAATATATGAGAATTCTGTGCAATTGTAATTTGCGTTAATATCTGTAATTTAGAAAATTTCGAAATCCTCATAATGTCTGATCCTTCTTCGATCATTGAGAAAAAGAATCGAGATTCTTCTAAAAGTCATCCTCAAAGATTTATTTTTCTCTAACGAAATCCAATACATTCAAATAATATTAAGGTTATATTTGATGCAGTCTGTTTCAATGTGCTTGATCAGAGAGCTATGCTAATGATGGGGAAATACTGAGACCTTCGTCCTCTCTTCCGCGTCTTTCGTGACCTTTAACTGTCAGCTCCTATTTCTTCGAAATGTAGTTCGTTATCAAAATACGAAGTTGAATAAGAACATCAACCGATAAAAATTATATTTTTTTCTTGTTACTCCTTCAGTTTCATATGTTCTTTTTACAGTGAAACATAACGCTCATTCATTGATAATGCTATGAGTGCGTTGCCTCCTTCTGAAACAGAAAGTGTAGTTAAAATGCGCCTAATCGGTTTTCGACTGGGTATGCCTGTTGTCATGAATAAATACAAACAGCAGCTATCTATTTGAATATTCCCAGCGGCTGTTAGCACTGGAATTTAATCCGTAATAATTTTGTTCATAAACTGAGTAGCGTCACTAAACAGAAACGGCATGAAGAAGTCAAACAGAAGCTGGGCATGGTTAGTAGTTTTTGCTGCCTGTCTCATCAATTTAATCATGGCAGGACTAGGAAGAATGGGTGGCATTCTGTATGTCGCTTTCATCGACACTTTCCATGTGGACAGGAAAACAGCTTCCGCTCCCTTCAGCATTCGGGCTGGGACCAGGTATTTATTAGGTGAGTAAATTTTATTTCATTATGATATTTATAAACGGCAGAAAGTTGTGCTTAATCCTAGTATGCGCTCCACACACGGGATTTGGCGACATCATGATGAGCAGTTAATGCGGTGTGTACAATGCGGACACAGCATTAAATTTTAGCACACAATTTTTCTATTTTGTTCTGTGTTTTATCTTTTCTCATTTCGTCATATCAGTGTTCAGTTTTCTTAGCAAGATGACCTACAAAACTGTTTTTTGGCTTTTTATTATTAATTTTTTGTATTTAACGTCGCCTTCTTCGCGTGTATGTCACATAATATTTAACAGTAAAATCACGAAATATTTAAAAACAGATTATCTTTAGAATTCCCGATAGATTGTTAGGAGTTATCATGCCTTTTCTTAATATAGCTACATTATTTCTTTAATAACTAGCCACAATTAGTCGCTTAAAATAATTTTCATAAAGAAAAAAAGTGTATAATGATTATAATTATTCCAGCTAGTATCATTTCATAAAACTATTTAATATTTCTGATTAAATATCTCATGATTTTAATGTCTTTTATCTGAATAAGTCATATTATAAAGCAGAAAAGTATTCTTAAGGACTGTGTTTATTGCTTTGAAATCACTTCCTTTGTTACTAAGTAACCTTCCAGAATAAATCTGAAAGTTAAATAAATATTTTAGGCTCTACTGAATAACAACACGCTGGGGAGCGGAAAATAAAAGTATTTTATTTACGGCAGTGGTCAACACATTGCTTTCAAATAACCAAGTTTGTTGATTAAACCTGAAATATATTGTTACAAAATGTACAGGCGCGGTAAGATGGCTTCCGCAAAGCAGTTTTAGGGTTGCCATAAAATGACAAAAGAAGGCATGGTTGCCACATTTGACGAAAAATCGCCCATTTGGCGATATTTGGCGCCAAAACCTTCTGGAACCTTCTGGAACGAATTCTTACCGGTTTAGCCCAGAATGTTCTCGAACACAAGCCGAAAGCTATATAAACCCTGCTGGTCCGCAGTCAGAGTGTGCTTCATCGAGAGGAAGAGTCAGAGTGCCTCGTCTGGACTGCGAGTTGGTTAGTATAGAGTGAGTGTGTCTCATCTAGTCAGTCCGTGCGGAGTCGATCGAATTGACAGCCGGGCAGTGAGTGCCGAGTGCGTCGTCGAGTCCATCGAAGGATTCTCTTAGTGTATCGCGGTTAGCGCATCGTCGAGAGAGTGTGTTAAGCTCCGGGAAGCATATTTCACAAGTGCACATCTGTGTAGCCACCGAGGGAGTGGCTTCTAGGATGGATCAATGAGCATCCAGTAATATTTCTTCATGTCACCTGACCTTTCCCGTGCTTTAAGATTTAAGCAAGATGGTTGAAAATACTCTGCCACGCAATTTTCTGTAAAAAATGATTAAAGCATCGTCGATTGTTTCTGAAACTTTTCATTGCGAAGTTAGATCAAATATAGGCAAGTATGAAGATTTCACTACTTGGTTGAAATAAATACGAACACATGTTGGATACTTTGCAAAAATATCGATGTGAAATATTACTTAATAAGTGGTAAATAAGATAAAGAAAGAAATATGTGATAAACATATGATCGCAAATGCAATCTTTACATAAAACTATGCGTATCAGAAAAATATTTACACCAATTATATATGTAAATAGAAGTCAGCACTTTTTTTGCAGTCTGTATGAAAAAGATGATCCATAATAATAGCCAATGCAGAATTTTATTCGAAGTGAACTTCACTAATTTGCATTCGTATTCATTTAGTGTGTTAAATTTCACATTTAATAACTGATCACTCTTAAATATTCTGTTTACACAAGAAATACTCATCAAACAGAATGAATTTATCTTATTCACAACGAATATATTCAACTTATTCACATAACTTTTAATTTTTACAATGAATATATTCAGATCATATGTATTCTGAATCTTACACTTTAAAAATCAAAAGAATGCAAGCACTGAAATAAGAAAACACTAGATTCATTGTAACACTTTCAGTCATTCTCATCTCAATTTAAAAAAATATACACTTGAATTATCTTAATCCACATAATATGCCGTGAACATCAAATATTAATGCGTGATAAAAATTTTGAAAGTGAAATGTCAGCGATTAATTAAACTCAGAAAACGAAAGCACTACAAGATTTCTACTATTACGCCATATATTTATAACTTCGAAACAAACGCAAATTAAAACATAACAACATACGTTTGTAGAGACATCAGGATTTTTTGGAAGCAGGCAAGATGAAAAATTAGCAACCGCCTTCGCCGGGAATCGAACCACGGACCTCTGGAATACCAGCCCAGCGTGCTACCGTTACACCACGAAGGCACGCTAGGGAATTGGGAGAAATGCCTTATACGTTCACATGCACGAAGATTTAGCGTCACAAGAGCAATAGCAGCTCATTGGTCCATTTTTGAATTGGTCCAATTTTGAACCCCTCCCTCAGTGGCTGCGCTTATGTGCACTTGTGAAATATGCCTCCGGGAATGACTGAACAGAAGAGTCGGGAGCTGTGCTCTGTGTGTCGTCGAGTGCATCGCGAGTTGTAGCGTGGAGAATCTCGAGAGTACGTGGAGTTCCAAGAGCGACCGAGCAGAGTCGGGAGCTGTACTCTGGTGCTTTGCAGTTAAGCTGTCTCCACCGTTATAGCCTGATAACCTGAAGGCTGTGTCGCTGATTGTTCCAGCGAGTTTATAGTAGATTTTCGACGACTGTAAAGTGTTTTGGAGCTGTCCTGATAAATATTGGTAAATAAAGTGTGTTTCGATACTTCATCAAGGAGTACTGTCATTATTCACTCCAAATCTGCACGAACCCCGTACGAACGTGAAGTGAAGGAAGAAAATAACGTAACAACTGGTGTCAGAAAAGAAAAACGCGACGATATTTATATCTTACACTTTGGCGAATTACAGCAGTCTGACACATTGCTGATCAAAATATCGTGTTTCGAATAGTGTTGCCACTTCTCGTTTTCAAATCGCTGAGTTTGCGAAATTGAAAATTCATTAAATTTGTACAAAATATGAAATAAATAAAAAAAAAAACAAATTCGAAATTCAAAACTCGGATTTAGAGGTGCACATGTTCGGTTGGAATACTGCGTGCATTAAAAATTTGGTGGCTCCATTGTTGGTGGGCCATTGTTTTCGCAATAGAAGGAACACACACATATATATATATACATATATATATATATATATATATATACAAACATATTCTTCATTATTTAGCTTTCTTTTAATAATACATGGCGATAGCATTTGGTGCCTATAGTTTGAAAAGCGAATCGCACACAAAAGTGATACGGACAAAAAGTGAGTGTCGAGATAAGTAGCACCTGCGGTGCTGAAAAAATAATGAGCCAAACAGCAGGCTTCATGAATTATAAATTATCTAGCAGAATCCTAATTCTATATCACACTGTTTTCTTTTATTTGACCAACTTGTTTGTAAGGTTCAGTTGTTTTAATCAACCAGTTACTTTTTGTTCTAGATCTTTACTGTCACTTCTCCCTTCCGTTTTTCCAGCAAAATAAGTTCGCGTTTATTTCAAGTTTTTAGATTATAAGACAGGGCATGTTCTGCTTGTCGAGGCTACGTTACTAGGTTGCTAGATAAAATAAGTTTCGTAGTCTTCGGCATTGCGTTTTAATTGCCAATAGTTGATATCCACGCCGGTAAAGTTTTGAACCAACTTCGCGTTATCTTTCGCTACTAGCTTATTTGAAATTAAATTATACATTTGAATTTTCCGTGCATCAGGTTATCTCGCCACAAATGGTTGGCTGATTTGTAAGCACCAGGTTTGCCTTTTTACTTCCTTGTACGAAGTAAAAAGGAAGTATTGTAATTGCGAAAAGTTTCAGTCAGCATATTTCAACGAAAATATTCATTTTGACCGCTATCGAATGCAATTTAACGATGTTTTTGCTTGATATCTGTACATAAGGACAGAATAAAATACTCGTTTCCTCCAAAAAAAATTATAAAACTGCTTTAAAATTAATCTGGAAAGAATTTTTCGTGGCGTCTGTACGAACGTTTGTACGTACGTACGTATCTCGCATAACTCAAAAACGAGTAACCTCAGAAAGTTGAAATTTTGTATGTCGGACTGCTATAACATGTAGATGTGCACCTCGTATTTTGGTTGCAATCGGCCTCACCAAACGTATATAAATATATTTATATATATATCCACTCTGTTACCCGGCTCAGTGATCTCCGTTTCTTTACTCTTATATGTTTGTAAATTGTACATTTTTTGCTTTAAAAATGATTGAATTATGTTGTTTTTATCTTCCGGTTAAGGTTTTTATGCCTTTAGTAAATCTTCATGCAATGTGTTTAGAATTATCAAACAATTTTAAAGTTGTTTAAATGCCACAAGGCTTTTTTTTTATGGCGGCCATTGATTGTTTACATTTGAAACAGCAGACTAATAGATTTGTTGCCAATCTAGAGAAACTTAGCTTCGCAACAACAAAGATAACGCCTTCATTTATTATTGCCAATTAAATCATGCTTAATCCTTTCTGGAATTTTTTCGAGGAAATAAGTGTTTAAGATTTACTTCGTAATTTTTAATACAGATATTTTGAGTTTTTATGTATTTTTGCCTTCTCGCGAAGTGAGAACTGAATTAATTGAATGAGAAATACTCAGTCGTCTGTGAAAATCTGTTTCTTTTTTGTTTTGTTTGCTTAATTTCTTTTATACATCGTTCTAGCTTTATTATAGTATTTGAATAGAACATGTGGCAACGATTAGATAATTCTATTCTTTAAATGATATAAATTTTGTGCATTCTGAGTTATAAAATGAACGAAATATAATACTTTTAAGTGAATCTAGCGTCAGAGTGTCGCTATGGTAAACAAATACTAGAGTGAATTTTAAAGAATGCATTTATTCTATTGTGGTTTATGCGTTGTCGGCGAAGTAGATTTAATTCAATCCAATACGTTTAAATGAAATGCAAGAAAAAATGCGTATAATTTAATATTCCGTACAAGGAAGTCATGTGGTGTACACATCAGATATTTTAGTTTTTAATAAAGGGTCTTTTACATTATTCTCAAATTTCAGTTGTTACTTTTTATTTAACCATAATACTCTTCCAGTCTATCTAAAGTTTATCATTTATGATTTCCAAGAATATTTCTAAACTTCATAAGTTAGATTTATATGGATTTATAAACAATATTTCTTGCAGATTGAATTGCTTCTGGAAACTTTCCATTAAAATCGGAAAAATTAATTTTTTCTTTTAACGTTTATTAGTTAGAAAGAAACTCTACACGTTGCAATCATATATATACCTATGAAATAATTTTCTATAATTTCATGAAATAATAAATAAAGGTACCATGAAATAATTTTCCTATTTTCTGTATGTTTTAAGAATTCTAACATCAAACTGTGAGACATGTTATAGTGTTGCGTGGCCCCAACTTGTCAGCAACAGTGGTAGTGACTGCTATGAACTGTAAATTACACAAACTCGTAAGAAGGGTTTAAGTCCCTTTTTATTCCACTTTAGAAATAACAGCTGAATGCTTTAGAAATAACAGCTGCGTCCGCTTGCCGCTCACAAACTACGCCGACCCGGCGGTTTAACAAAACAGAAATGTGAAACTAAAAATAAATGACAGGATGAATAAATAACGAGATCAGTACCTACGAAGCTCTAATATCGTAACTAACTTAACCGCGTTCTAAGATACAGCTGAGATTCAGCAAGCTTACTGATTAAGCAGTTGAAGATTCAACGAACTGCCGAAATAGGCACACAGGCCGAAACGCGCGGTTCTTAAATTTCTACCTAGCAACCTTCACGCTCGCGATTCAAGAAGCACACATATAGTCTCGTTTCCCTTCTATTTAAACTCAACTTACTTCTGCTAAAATTTGAATATACTGCGCGTTCTACTACAATTTACGTACTCTGGCATTGGCAATTCTAGGAGAAAGTAAAGGCTTGACAGGAAAGATAGCTTAAACTTAAAATAAATGTTAGTTAAAATAAATATAAACCCTACAATGTAACTGAAGTTATTTACTTGTTAATAGTTTCTCCATAAAGAATTTTTTCCTTAGGTCCTGTCGTTGGTATTTTGGGCCAGAAATACGGCGTGCGGGCAGTAACTCTTTTTGGAGGAATAATCGGCACCATCAGTGCGGCTGGTTGCTTTTTTGTTCAAGATATTGTCTGGGTGACTGTTCTTTGGGGCGGCATTAATGGTGAGTATTATTCTGCGGCTTTATCGATGGTTGTTACTTGCGAAAACCCATAATTGTTCATATTTTATGGTTGAAAAATCGCTGTTTTACGTTTTTCGGTATCTGCGTAAATTATATCCCGCAGAACTTACCTCCAGGATATATTCGCACATATTCTCAAAATATTCTCAAAAATCTTTCATACAGTACTCTCAAATATATTTCTGTTTTCGGTGTGTTAAGACGACTGGGTAAAAAGGAAAAAAGGCGCAGAGAAGTTTTATGAGTTTTAATAAAGTATTTGACAGAAAGGACAAAACATTTATACTTTATAACTAAAATATAACTATATTTATTGATATAAATGGTGACAACTTCGTAGCCTATAACCACTTGTTTCACTATGCGTGTTTGAAATATGGTACCATATTTTTTACTATTTTACATAGTTTGCAGTTTATTTATAAACATAACCAAATATGATAATTCTTAAATTAATTTAATTCTTTGGGCAAATAAATTATTTTTAAACTCACTGACAAATCGCAAGACTTACTCAGTTAAAGCATTTGGCAGTTTAGTAACCAAGTAAATAATACACTGGTTATTCAGCCGGAATTCGAATTTTGGAGAGTGAGATAGCTGTTTTTTTTTTTTTTTTTTTTTTTTTATTTTATTTTTATTTTTTTTTCTATTTTTTTTCTCTATGTATAAGGTAAATAGTTATACTTGGAGGAAAACTTCCTTTAGAATATCTTCCATGAAATCATCCTTCTTCTTAAGCAGACATCATTATTCGTTTGTTTTGCTATAATTGGTTAAACAGTACAACTTGAAATAATAACAACTGATTAAACAATATAACTTGGCTGTGCCGTAATTGATTAAACAGAATAGGATACTTGGATTTTACTACTTTAAATATTTCTTCGAATGTTTAACTTTATGTTACATATAAAGAACATCGAAATGGATACTAAAGGCAAAAATGGCCAATTAAAAGGCATACCGTTTCGCAATTAAAAGGCAATGGTAAGCACAAGCCCACGACATTAATCGTGGCAAGAAATTAAATGCTCCTGTTGTTGGCAAGACCTTTGACTACCGCTGACATCCCGACTTCAGCTCAGTTCTGCCCCCAGTTTTGAAAGAGAAAACATCGGGCAGGCTGATCTGAGAGTCCCCCAACTTCTCTTCCCTTAATTCGACCCTCTCGAGAGGACTTTCGTCTCACCGTATATTTAGACTGCCCGTATGCCGCACAGACACTGTACATTTATAAACATCCATGCCTTCTCCGGGATTCGAACCCGGCCCCTTTGGCACGGCAGTCAGAGTCACTAACCATTATCCCGTTCGCGCGGCTTTAAAATGCAAAAATATATATTTAACTTCTTAAAAACCGCTTGGTATTTTAAAAGTGTACTTGAGGCTTAGAAACGGTGAATAGATTTACTGTTTCATCAACTCTCAAGTTTACATACTCGAGTAATTTTTAACTTTTTAAATTTAATTACCTTAAGTTTGTTTGCTAACATTTGTTCATGTTTATCATTATGAGAATAAATTTCTTTTTTTAACAGGTCTTGCAACTGCACTTTCGGTCACACTTCTTCAGGTTGTGATAGCCCAGTATTTCGAAAAAGACACTGCTACAGCTGCAGGAATAGTATTTTCAGGCACATGCGTAGGATCATTTCTTTTCCCAGTATTTATAGATCTACTTCTTTTATATTATGGTCTTGACGGCACGTTCCTTATCATTGCTGCCATTGCAATGCATGTCATTCCAGCTGCAATGTTCCTCAGTGAACCTTCATGGCTTAATGATAGGAATAAACAAATGAAAAGACTTAGTGATGAGGAAGAAATCGTAGCATATGAGTATAATTTAAATAAAAGAGAATGCCCACTTCATGTGAAGGATGTTAAAGATAAAGCCAGTGGTAATACTATTTGCATGCCCGGAAAACAATTTAATGATTCTATAGGAAGAGAATCAGAATACTTAGAAAATTACATTGATTTTCTTTATTTGAGGAAAAATAAAGAACTGGTACTTCAGTTATTCACAATGAATAATTTATCAGAAAATATGTTACATAATGCTTCTGAAAAGGAGAAACAAATTACATTGACACAAGATGAAAACTCTCTTCTGAAAGGTAGTGAATTTCTTGAATTTAATGATGAAGTGATGCAAAATAAGCATGGAATTTTTCTCGATTTGATGAATTTCCTAAACGAAGATTTGATAAATCACTTTAATACAGTGTCCAAAGATGAGAAATCATATGATAAAGATCAACTGCTAAAAACACCCTCGGAAGTAAATAATACCAAACAATTTATCAAATGTAAACCTCAGTTGGATTCGAAAATTACATATGTTTATGAGGAACTCCCGTATAGCAAATTTTTTTTTAATCTGGAACAGTTGCAAGGTTATGGTGATAGCCAAATAATTTCCTTTTTCCCACAGCATAGTCCTTTTCAGGTTTTGAAAATAATTACAGAAATTCGGAAGATTCATGCATTATGTAATAAACTTCGATGTTTCGAACCAGATGAAGAAACCATCTCCCAAGAAAAATCAACAAAACTGGAAAACAGCGGAATAAATATTCAGAACCAACATATTATCAAACCAGTTAATTCTTTTCGGGTTCACATCAAAGCTGCGTTTCAGCTGCACTTGAATCCACTTTTCTTATTAATTTGTGTGTGTAGAATTGTTTATTTCATTACTATAACTTGCGCGGTTACAGTAACAGTCGATTTTGTCATCGATCAAGGTTTATTGGAAGACGATGGAAAATATGTTATTGCCGCCTTTTCTGCAGGTGATTTCATAGGACGATTATGCTTGGGATGGATTACGGATCGGAATTATATGAGTTTAGATAAATATATGTTGGTTATTATGATCCTCCAAGGTGTATGCACAATCTCACTACCAATAATGCATACTAGATATTCGTTATTTCCAACAATAGTAATATTTGGAATATTTATGGGTTCTGAATTTGTACAGAATCCTGTTTTAGTAAATAAATATATAGACAGTAGCAAACAGTCTATTGCCATGGGGTGCAATAATTTTTTCCCTGGTTTCTTAGGATTCGTTCTTCCAAGTTATATTGGTAAGTATGTTAAAATAGCTTTTAAATTTTTTGTGATGAGTATTGCATAAATATCTGAATGTCATCTTTTCAAAATCTTACTAAAATATCAGCTTTTCTTAAATTGATCTTTCAAAAAAGTATTATTACTTTGAATCCGTAATAAGGACTCAGTTGTAAAATGCTTGCGGAAAATTCGTTACTACTGTATTGCTATTATAAACGCTTATATCTTCCCGCTATATAATGTGCGGAATTGTCTTAGGAGCTTCAATGTGCTTGTTCTTGTTAGAAACTCGTCCTAAAGGAGTTGGTTCAAAATCTCTTTTGACATTCTTTCTAGCATTTTAGATGCAGTTGATGGCCACCAAGTTGCAAGTGTTCCAGTTGGTCATTTTTTGTTCAGCAACCTTCGGTAAACTGCATGTTTATACAAAAACCCAGATAAAACTAACATGAAGTAATTTCATTCTGTTTCGTTGCTTTAAAATTATATATGTCGTATAATAAAGAAACTAGTCACTAAACGGATTCTATATACCTGTGGAAAAATCAAACATTTAATTTTAAATATATAAGGTAAATAAAATAACTCCACATTAAAATTAGTAGCCGATTTTATTGAATTATTTTTTAGACATCAGATGTATCTCATAAAACCTTAGATTTAATGTGGGCATAGTCCTTCCGCCAACATTGTTTCCATAAAATCTTTTTTACTCGTTACATTACATTAAGGAACATTACAATTAGAAATATGCTATTGCTGTTTCAAATGACCAAAGAATTGCAAATTAGTACATTTATCTGAAAAAGTAAGTACCGATGGGTATTCTGATCAATACCCATCGGCCATTTAACTGTCGTATTACCGAAAACGTTGGCCAAAGTGCACAACAGGAGGTGACTGATTTTACACCTGCAAGAATGAGGAAGTCTCATGCAAGTTTTGAAAGAGAATACCCCATGGAACAGACCCTAAGGCCATCTACCCTCTTCCCGTGCCATTTAAACTCTCGAGAGGATTTTCATCTCGCTAGTATTTTAAGGGTCCCGTAACGCAAAGCCACTACGCACTTGCAAGCATGTCAGCCTTCCCCGGGATTCGAACCCAGGCTTAACGATAAGGCACTCAATAGCTCTGACCACTGTACTAATCAGGGAAGACTGCTCAGAAACAATATTTCAGAAAATAAATCCTTAGCCAGTTTTACCAATTATGCAGAGCAGTTTATATCTGATTTAGATGTATGATTTAAGAAGATAAAAAAGAAATTAGTACCTTTAATTTCAATTAATTTACTCTATAAAAATACTGCCGCGTGTTAATTATGTACTCTGGTGTATGAGTCCTTTATATTAAACTAGTGCTAATTTCTTATTTTCTTGTGCAGGTTATTTCAGGGATACAGTTGGAGCTTATAACGGAATTTTCTACATTAACGGTGTTTTATCAATTGCTGCAGGATTACTTTGGATTTTAAAACCCAAATTCGATCAATGCTTGTCATCAGGAAGTGCTAAGGAAAATGCTGCCTCAGAAATTATGTGAATTCACTATAGAAAATATTTTGTATTTAGTAATTAATTCTATTCGGCTGAGATTACTATAAAGAATTACATATTTGTTTCTCATCTAAAATCGAGTGGAAATAATTTCTCAACCAGTTTCACAGGATCACTATAGACGACAAATGTTTCTTTAATGAAATGCGTTTTTTCTTTTTTTACTTTCTTTGAGCATATTATTAATGAATGTTTATGCGGCTATAATAATTCTTCATTCTTAAACCCAATTCTTGATTATTTATGGTTATTTTTTAATTTTTCGACTGCACCTTTAAATGTTTTGTTACCAGTCCCAAGTACTCTCTACATTTCTCTCAAGAAAACACGCTTTTTAGCCTAGGAAATACCATTTACAACTTGTTATTATCTTCATTTTCCATGAAAATGTTGAGCCATTATATCTCAAAGTAAGAGTTATTCATCTCCTGTATAAATAACTGATAATTGCATAAAATGTTTCACAAAATGCATAATTTTTATTTATCAGTCAGCATGACATGATCATTCTAGTTGCGAATATGCTGTAATATTAAAGATATTATGCTTTTAAAATATAACTGAAACCTTTTTAATTGAATCAACACCAGTCAACATGTGTTGTTCAACTAGAATTCGAATTTTTAAAGTCCAAACAACGTCCGGAGGTTGTTGTTTGGACTTTAAAAATCAACAGTGTATAACAATAAAAAACAACAATAAAATCTATTCAACCTACTTTTTCGGTTCCTCCAATTTTTTAGTATTAAATTTTATTTAAGTGTTTTCTTTTCTCTTTTTAACATTTCCAGTTCCTTTGTGCGTATTACTTGCGCTTAGCAATTTAAAGGTTTGAAATTTTTAAAGTATATTTGTAGACTACATCTAATATAAAAACACATCAATCAAAATGCTAAACTTAATTTTCAATAATTCATTGGTTTTCATTCCGTTATTTCCCCTTTACGTTCTAAAAATAATCGCTTACAATAAATTGCTCTATAGTGCATCATTTCAAAATTAATCCAAGTCATACGATTTTTGCATAACCCTCAAGACATAGTATTTATTTAAATTTCAACCAATAATGTATTCAAATTTGGGAACCGAAACTTACTATTAGCCAATGAGGGCTAATCTGAACTGAAACAAAACCATTCTGAACCCAACTTTCATATTCGACTAGTCGCACTTACTCTCTGCTTCCCTGCCTATCTCAATTGTCATGGCTTCTTTTATAACCGCAATGTCTTAAAAAATGTCAAATGCATTCAAAATGAGCACTCTTAGCGTTATTTATCTGTGATCCATCAAAAATCAATTTTTGTCAACGAAAAAAAACAAAAATCATTAAGTCTGTCATTACATCTTAAAGCACATATATGTCTTCAGTATCTATAAAGACCACACACACACAGTAAGAACGGAGGCTTAATGTTGCCCGCAGTTATCGTTCTGTTAATTTGGCAACATTGCTTTCACATCTTCCATGCAAAGATATTGAGATCAATAGTCACGGAATATTACGCGATGGAATAAAGTGTTATTAAGATGAAACATATTAGATATATAAGGAAAATTATGCAGAAATAGATTGTGAAACATAACTAGTCGAAAATTATGCATTAAATTAAACAAAAGTTCAAAAACGTATCTAGTAATTCGAGACAACAGTCTAGGTCAGGGTTTCTTAAACTGTGGGTCGCGGGACCTGCAGCAGGGGGTCGCCAAAAATTTTAGCAGTTTTGATATTTATTTAACTTATTATAATCATTTTACAATTACCAAATCTGTTGACACAATGTATCTGAAAATAGATAAAGACAATACAGACAAAGAAAAAAAGAAAACGTTTCGACGTATTCTTTTTTATAATATAAACGTTCATTTTTTTTTTTTCTTTTGCTTTGCACGTGACGCTGTCATTTCGTCTGCTACTTATATTTAAAATTTTCACATTGTTCTATCTCTTAAAAATTGATAGTTTCACTCACGCGTGTGTCGGATTTGCGCAATACTTATGGGTTCCTAGAAAATTTTTGTTAAATATTATGGAGTCCCGGGGGTCGCTAAAACATCTCAGTTATAAAAGTGGGTAGCGAGTGAAAAAATTTTAAGAAACTCTGGTCTAGATTATGGGCATTAAAACCCATAACGGCACCAGATTCATATGGGCCATAAGAACATCTATTTGTCATCATATCTGCGGTTTCTCGCGAACTATCGCAGACACCGAAAACGGTTTCTGCCAGCTGAGAAACTTCGATTACATCATCATTTAGTACAGGTGAATATTCAAAAACACACCTGCAGCTAAATCTCGCAAAATTCCGTACCTTCAACCTTTCTAGATTTCAGTGATGCTATGGCGCCTAGCCTATTTTTACTGCTGTTAATTTGACAACTGGGTATTGGAAAACCAAAATGTGGGAGGACGTTTTCAAGGAAAATTATCTTAGGCGAAGAAGAATCCTTTCAAAAAGGAAACATCCAAGCAGAACTGCCATATTTGTCGCATAGTTAATTCCCGAACGATTCAAGAGAGGCCCGTGCACAAAAGCAAGCCAGTGTCTTGTATTGATGTAACATGGTTACTGGATTGAATCGTACAGGAGGAAGAGAGTGTCTGCATTTGTCATGCATGGTGTTGTACAATTAAACACGAGCATTTACTTTGTGATTAAAACAAAAATATCATCAATTTTCATATAAAATAATGAAGTAAAGAATTCTGTATATATTTTGTGTACTGAATACAATACAATTTTGCATTCTTGTTGAGCTACTCTAACTGACGGGATTCAGCGCTTTCTGCTTATTTTTCAGCATAATCCTAAATTTGAGATACCACAAAGGCAAATTTCAAATGGCTTTTATTTACCTCTCTTCGCTAGTAGATTATTACAATTATCATCAAATCCATTCAAATGAACACTGTTTGTTGCAAACTCAAAACAAATGGGAATTCATTTTTTATAAAAAGGCTTTAAACTAATCAGTTATAAACTCTACCTCTGTAATACATAATATTAGCTTCTGTTTAAAATCTTTACTAGTATGCTTTTAATTCCGACTCAATTGACTGTTCAAGTTTCGGGCAAATCATTGTTCTATCACTTAGCAGCAGGAATCCGAATTGCCATCAAAACGAGAAGTGTTATCTACTAACTTCTCATTTAATTTTAAACATACACTCTCTTTCATTGGGGGTTAACTTTCCTTGAAGTTTATTACACATAATAAAGACTCTATGTCTATACTATTTAAGAGCAATATCTATATAAAAGTGAATATACACCTTGTGCATAAAAACCTTTTTGATCGTAGACATATATTTCCGTGTGCAAAAATCTTTTAAATGAAGCAGATTCATGTTTTGGAATTTTTAGATTTAAAGAAATCAGTTTTGTAAAAATTACGAAATCTAACTTTTTACACGTTCCTCCGCACCCTATACTTACGTTTAGCAAACTTTTGTACTCTTTATAAAAAATAAGACATGAAAGTTTTGATTCTCGTACGATAAAAATTGCCCGAGATATTTGATATGAAAATCGGTACCCGTATTAAAGGACCCTGCACAAACTGAAAAACGAAATGTTTGCATTCATATGTAAATAAAAATAAAATATAGTATAGAAAAGATTTCTGATATTAAGAGACTATGTGACGAACATTTATACGAAGAATATTGGGAAAAATACTGAGCTCTCTCTCTCTCTCTTTCTCTGTATATATACATATAGGACGGCTTTGCTCTCTGCGAACCAGCAGCCTTTAATTAACTTTCTGCAATTCAGGATCTTCCCCCTAGACCAGTACTTTCCAATACATTCGAGCCTATTACATAACCGCTTCTATAAATAACGAATTCGCGCCATTTTGCGTCAAAAGCTCTTTTCTCCCTCTGCTGCTAAGATATGTGCGGCGCTTCTCATCTTTCTTCCTTTTATTAGAATAGTTATGACGTCAAAAGCCTAGATTTCATCGTATTTAGTTTGAAACACTATTTGATATGTAATTAGGAGAATTTCATTTAGAAGAAAGATTATCTGCCATTGGAATTGAATAAAGATGTGCAATTAAAAGCAAAGCTTCTACGTCATCATTCTGCTATCTTAACAATCAGCCACAGCAATGCCCGGACTTTGATGCCAAGCTTCGTCATTCATGTCCACGACTGCTAAAATATCACAGCTTTATTAATTAGCCGCTAGGATATATGTAAGAAGAGTAAAGAATATATAAGAGATTAAATTAGCAACGTAAAAATTTTCCTTCTCTATTCTAAAAATAGTAACTCCTCTTTGCACTGCGTCATTTAGAGACTATTCTATGTCATATGATTCTTACGTAATTATGATGATGTGAATGGAACTAAAACTCAACCAGCCAATAGTAATTTTACAATAATATTAACTGTCCAATCAAAATGCTTTGTAAACCAAAACTAACTCAGTCTGACTTGAGATTTCATCCTGAACATTACGCACTTGCTTTCTATGTTTTGGCCTGGCCGCATTGCAGTCTGTCTACCCTTTCTTTCTTATTGCAAATTTATCTAAAACGTAAAATCTCTTGGAATAGGCACAATTAATGTGCCAACTTGTCGCCGCAACGTGTTTGCTAAAATGAAAAATGAAGATTTAAATCTGCCTTCGCCTCCAATTTCCTAATCATTTTTTATCTACGCCATCTCCAAATTCCTGCTCCTGAATTTATTACAACTTCTGCTCCTGAATAATTACACACACACACACACACACACACACACACACACATACATATATATATATATATATATATATATATATACACATAACATAACATAACATAACAATAGGGCGCTTCCTTCTTATGAAAAGAAGGAAAGGAGTTTAGGCAAAATTGCCCATTACTCTTCCGCCATTTGATCATTTAAATCAAGGGATTTAAATGGTAACTCCCGTAAAAGGTAAATAATAAATAGATAAGATCTCAAACTGACACCAAATCTATAGTATCAGCAAAAGATCCCATCTCTAAGTTCAAGGTGTCGGCTGGAACGTGAAAACTTCCATATTGGATGGAAAACCGATTCAATCCCTCCCAAACCACCAAACGCAAATTCTTGACCAAACAAGAGTGCGATGGAGAGTCAAATAAATAAATAAGGAGGGCAGAGGTGCATTCTCAAGCCAAATGGCCAGGTAGTGTATAAAGATTTGATATCATTATATTCCAAAACACAGCTATAAGAGGGAAATCCCTGCATATTTTCTTTTCAAAAAAAAAAAAAAAAAAAAAAAAAAGAACTCATAGAGCGTCTCAATGCTTGTTTCTTGTGGTTCCATATTCACCTTACCTGTAGGTGTTTAGTATACATCAGAAACCCTATTATGCCAGAGAGCTTTTTGTATAAAAGGGCTTGATCAAAGGTAATATAGGGAAACCCAAGGAATTTGTTTCTAGGGACAGAGAACACCGGACATCGTTCCAGAAAGTGAAAAGGTTGTTTCCTCTTCTTCTCCACAAGCTGGGCAGAGAGAGATTCGACAAGACCACATTTGTGGAGATGCTTAGCTAGATAAGCATGTCCAGTAACAATTTGAATTACCTGGCGTAAGTTAGTTCTAACTGAGGTGTATGAGTTTACCTGAAAAGTTAAGTGTACTGAGCACCAATTTAGAATGAGCACAGTCTGGAAGTTTAGACCATATATCATCATGTTTGTTCTTTATCCAGCTT